CAGAAGTTCAAGGATGGGACAATCGTTCATCTCTTCAAACATGCACGGAGCCGGCAACTCTGCAATAACCGCAAAGGAATCTTGCTGCTCAACACCGCCGGAAAGATCTTCGCCCGGATCCTCCTCAGCCGTCTCAATGGTTATCACGAACAAGAATTTCTCTCGGAAGGCAACTGCGGCTTCCGTCGCCATTGTGGAATCACCGACATTATCTTTACCACCCGTCAGCCGCAAGATAAGTCCCAGAAAATGCAGGCCCACCACTACACGAAGTTCTCGGACTTGACGAAAACCGTCGACACAGTGAATGGCGATGCAATCTGGAAAACCATGCAGAAATTCGGATGTCCTGAGCGACTCACGCACATCGTACCTCACCTCCACGGACGATGGGCCCGTCTCTGAAGCATATGCGGTAACCAACAGAACGAAGTAAGACTGCTCACTCGTCCCTTTCCTCTTTAACCTTGCGTTTTCTGCCATGATGATGGACGCCTGCCATGATGAGCGCTCTGGGTTATGCATCACCTAAACGACTGACTGGTGTCTTTTCAATAGCCGATGCATGCAGGCCTCACCGCGTCTCTCCACGATTACTGTTCACTACCTGCTCTTCGCGGACGGCTGCGCACTCGATACCATATCCGGAGGGGACATTCAACAGAGCATGCACCTCTTCGCCACCTGGTGGGCCAACTTCGGACTGACTGTCAACACAGAGGAAACGGTTGTCATGCACCAATCACAACCGAACGCAGCATACAGTGTTCCTCGCATTCGCATCAACCGCACAGAACTGCAGAATAGCGGAATACTTCGTCTACTTAGGCAGCACACTCTTACGCTGCATCAACATCGACGAAGAATTGACTCACCGGATCTCCAAAGCCAGCCAAGCTTTCGGCCGGCTGCAGAACTCCGTATGGAACCGCCATGGCCTCCGCCTGATCAACAAAACTGAAGATGTACAAAACAGTTATTCTAACGACACTGCTGTGTGGTGCGGAGACCTGGATGGTCTACAAGATACAAGTGCGGAAGCTGAATCAATTCCACCTCAGTTTTCTCCTACGGATACTGAAGTTGAGGTGACAGGACAGGATCGCGGGCACGAATGTTTTGGAACGGACTGGAATCCTCAGCACTCACGCTATGCTGGTGCAATGCAACTACAATAAACTTGCCACCTGGCGAGAATGGACGATTTCGCCTGCCAAAACAACTATTCTATGAAGATGTCGTTAGGAGTGTTCGCCGATAAGAAGATAAAATATGCCATTACAAGAACACCTTAAAAAACTCCTTAAAGCGGCTGCAAATCGACCTGAGGATTTGGGATGACACCGCACCTAACCGACTACCCTGGAGAAGAGGAGCGACGACTGGAGCGGTCATCTATGAGGCCAACCGGATCGCCGCTGCCAATGTCAAAAGAGGAGCTCGCAAGTCCCAGGCGCCTCTGACGCGCCACATCAATGTTCAACTCCTCCTGAGATGCCCACAATGTCAACCAATACCGCGCGCGGATCGGCCTCTTTGGACCCAATGCACTAGTCATTTGACTATCCCAACTGCTGCCTCCTGATCTTCCCTTGTTCCAATTCCACGGCGTCCACTCTCACCATCGCTGCTCCGAATCCCCGTGTTCTGCTTCTGTTGACCCCCATTATCTTTGCCGAAACTTCCGCGGCGGCGGCGATGACTATCCAAACCACGTCTACTACTCTTGCCATCGATCGAAACGCTCCCGAAGCCCGACAACCACCACTCTCGCTCCCAAAACCCCCATCTCCAGCGATGTGGATATCGTCGAAATCGACGTCGAACTCTCGTCCCAACAATGCCCTGGGTAAGCGCAAAATTGGCCGACTGGTCTTTTTCTTCCGGTTATTACAGTCGCATTACTGCTTTAAGGGAGGCTAAAACAAAGTCTAGAGCCCACAGTTGATTGCATATCGATAAGCAATAATTAATTGTGAAGGTTTATCGACCGTGACAGTTCCTCGCTTATTTGACGTCATAGTTCAGTGACACTCCAACCGCGGGTCTGACGCCTGCGGTTTTAACCCGGGCCAATTGATCGAGACCTTCGAGTCAAACACCCTGTCACCTTCTTTATGAACCATGTCCGGAGCTTCAAGGTAAAACGCAAACGTTAACTTGAGTCCTGCAACCAGGAATAATCGTTCGACGCCCCTCCCATGTAAAGTAAAATACCCGAAATCTCAGTCGTCACGACTGGGCGTTCTCGAATTTACCCTTTGGAATAGCCCAAGAGTTCTACAATTTGCTGAGACAGTTCAATCTATAGCTTGCAGCTCCGTAAAAGACGGATGATGCCAGTCAGAGAGAACGACAAGTGGATTGAAGTGGATACTTCTACAGATGCGACTGCAAACACTTACGAAACTTGAAAACTACCAACTAATTCGCCAAGTCTAGGTGGATAGTCAGTGCCGAAAAGATGGTCCCAACGCGAAACGGACAGCCCGACTCTGACGATGGACGATTTTGTCTAAGTGACGCTAGTTGTTGAGACCGTTAACGGCCAATAAGGCATACATACTTTTGCGTATGGTTAACCAGATAAGACTCACTTTAAAGTGTCTCCCGATGAAATCAAACTATGCTGTGAATGACTGGTGCAGGCTACGTAAACTAGTCTGCAGACTGGGATGAGTTGAGGTCACCTTCCTCAGAAAAACTCAAGGTCCAAATTTAAACAATCGAACACCTTGCCACTGAGGGAATTGACCCCGACTTCCCAGCTGTTGATGTTTAATTTTGGAACGGTTTTAGAATACAAATGTCGAAGTTAATTCAAGTATTTTTGGCGCAGAATCCTGCTGAGTGTATAGTCCTTACAGACATCAAGAGAAAACTGTTTGCTTTCACAAACTTCATATACAAGACAATAGAAGTTACAAGTGGAAAGTGCCCACTATCTGGACATGGCGATAAGAGCGAGACGAACATTGCCTTGGAACTCTTTGAGCTTCTTCTCAGCGACTAGCTTGCTAACCTCGAATTCTCTGACCTAAAACAAGAAATGAGGTTCAGTCGAGGGATGGCAATTTAAGAATCTGCCTGAAACATGGCTTTGGCGTACAGATGTATCGAGAATATGTGTGAAAGCCGTGTTCTAACCATATAGAAGTCGTGACTCTCGTATAAAATCCTAGGAGAAGCGCATTGCGATGGGGTGGCTGGAGCGAAAATCTGAAAGAAATCCCAGTGTTTTCTAGTAGATTTTTGTGTCGTCCGAGTTGAAAGGTACTACAGTGGCACGGTGCAGACCATCAGGTCTTCTGGCGCATTGGAACTCAGCCGAGCCACTAAAGCAGTAAGGTCAAGAATTCGGTGTTAGGCCTAGAAACAGTCGTGTAAACTCCAAATTCCCAAATGACCCCATCGCCCACATATATACTGGCGGGAGTTCAGTGCATATTTTCAATGAAGCGGTCTAAAGTGTATTTTCGATGGGGGGTATCTTGAGTAATCTGTCTCAGTCAAGGTTGGAGTCGTAAAAACCAAATCCATTTTTACGGTCGATGACTGGAGCTGCAGCTCGAGCAGTCGCTTGAAATATCCGGTTAATCTTGCAGTCGTGGATGGTCTGGACCTCCAAGGAGGGGGAACCAGCGAGCCAATGTACAACAAGGACCGTAAAAACAAAGCCGCGAACCAGGTAAACTATTTTCCGTGTAGCAATGCGCGATTAATTGTAAAACTTGAGGTGCCTGAGAACCGACGACAAATCGCCCGCTATCTGAAGACAGCGATCAGAAAACTTCGAAATGATGTCTATTTGCATTCAGTGGTAGCTACGGTTTTGCCATGCAAATATGTGCAGAGTTAACTAACTTGCACGAGTTTCTTGTCACGCACGGTAACAATCCCTCCTCTAAGGGTCGTGCGAGAGGAGTGAGCCAGTTCGAAGCCCATTCGTGGAAACCATGTATGGCAAAGTTGGTCTTAATAACGCCTGTCTATGTCCTCAGCTGTCGGATAATTGGTCAGCCAACAAGCCAGGGAACGGTCAAGGAAGCTGGGTTCTTCATATCGAATGAAAGTCTTGGCTGGAGGTTTGGCATGGCCTAGTCTTTAGGGGTTCGGATTTTTCGGGCCCCATGTTATATAATCCCCAAGAGGGCCCGAGGCGAGAAAGGTTATGCTGTTTTCAGAGATGGAGGCGACAGAATGAAGTTCAGAAAGCTGACTGCGCAGGGACTTTATTACAAATTACCTAGTTCCGCTCTACCCGTATCAGAAAAGGCACTGAGCAAGTGGCATTTATGCTTGTGCAGTGAACGGCGATGCAGCATTTATCTTGGTCAAATCGTTCAGTAAGAAATAACAGCAAAATGTGCGGAGATTTCCAAAGGGCAAAAATCTGCTGCGTATTTGTACGGATCGGTGGAAAGTATGCGAGGAGAGTACGCGGTCCACTTAGCGTTAGAACGGAAATGGCTGGATTCAAAGGACTGAAGGCATTTAAAATGAGCAAAATATTATTATGGATTAGCGGTGTTCCCAAATGTCCTCCGTCCGGGTAGTGTTGAAGCTTTTCATAGCCGTAACTTAAATCTGTCTTACTCATGAATAATTCGTGTAAAATAAACAATTTCTGCAGTTTGTTTCTCTTATTTGACATAATTCGAGTTTGTCGGGTCAATTAGGTGGTCAGTTTATCAAATATTGTCAGGTCTATCTGACTTTCTCGTTTTTCGAGATTTGGCGGCTTCCAGGCAGTTTTCCAGCCCATCAAACCTCCAGATTTTTTATGTCCGATAATGTACTGCACTCCACACTCCTATGGGATACGATAAACCTGCTCGTTCTTTGCGATCAGGGTCATAATTTGTCTTATTTCTTCTATGCTGGCCGAGAGCGTGAGATAATGATTCTCCGTAGTCTTTATATGCTGCGTACATACCCATCAAACAACACTGAATAAATAACTTAATATAACTCTATTGCTACAAGATACCGCTGTTCTCTTTTGCTTCACAACGTCAGTTGACGGGCGCCAACGCCGTCCACATGTCGTTGGGCACTGTTTATTATGCCCTTCCTAAAACATAGTCTGCGAATAAAACTTTCTATCTAGACCGAAGGCGGAAGCTCCATGCCGAAGATGTAGGGTTTGCGGCAGTTAAACGAGGGTAAGAAGTGACTCGCTAGGGAAAAACGAGTCTGACATGTTCCCCCTTCACTCTCTCCCTTCAGCAGGGAGATCATCATTGTAATGTCCGAGTACAGACACGTATTTACCACTGGTCGAAACTTGCTGTACAGGCCGACACAGCCAAAATCGGATACATTTCACTAACTTCCGTGTGAATTTCCCTTGCGAACCCGGTGGAGTAAGCGGGCCGCTTTACAATGAAATCGGCTCAACTACCGTCACAACTACTTAGGACACTGAGAAGTCCACGGTGAAAGCAAATGCGTCCTAGACGACAAAGTGGTTTGTTTGCAGTTAAGACTGCAAGCGTGAGGAGGCTAGCTACCATTGGCCGATGAGGCGGCATCCACTTTAGGCAATTACTAAGGGAAAAAAAACTGATTGACTGTATACATTAGATGGGCATCTTCGCATGGGACACACCGGGACCTGACTATGCAGTGTTCAGATATACATTGATCCTAGTTAAATGCGAATACGACTTCAAAAAAATTTAGGCCAGAATAGCACCGAGTAACAACAAAGACATCAGTTTCATGGATTTCCAAAACCTTATATAGGAAGTTTAGCAGACTGCTACTGAATTTGTTTCCTCTATCATAAAACTTGGGGGGAAATGGTGTAACATGCCATGATACCGTGGCATGTCACGCATCCGAAAGCAAACACTGGTATGCAAACGTACAAGAAGTTCAACGTCCTCGTTCCTCAGCTTAATTTTCGGAAGAACCGGTGTGGACTTCTTATCGACATCGTTGGTTACGGCTTTCACCGCATCACCAAAGCCGGCCGAAAACTCCGTCTCCTCAACAAAGTCCGTTACTTTTTCAAGATCAGCTGCGCCGCGTTCAGCGTGAGTTGCTGGCTTTTTCGGCTTGCCATCTACGACGGCGTCTGATTCTACTTCAGTCGTCATGAAAGTATTCAGTTCAACGTCGACTGGATGGTGCACACCAGTAAAACCAGCGCGGGCGACAAGGAGCCACCAACCACAAACAAGGGGGAGCAACCGGAAAACTAAGGATTAATCATTACGGCAATACGATAAAACACGTGAAAACAGCACTTTAAATAATAAGAGACTTTTCATTTGCCAAAGGAACTGAAGTCTACCGTCAATTTTAAATACGACGGCATTCGGACTTATGCCTGACAACATCCTTTTCAGTCGATCAGACGCATTTTATTTACAGTTACCGAATCTCGAAACTCGAGTTTAGCCGCACAAGCACCTTACTTAATTTGTACTTACTTTTTCACTCCCGCGTCTGGGGAAGACCTTAGGTTATTGAACGCATCCCGTACTAGCCTTCGAAGTGCTCACGTTATTTTGCAGGAACTGCATGGTAGGTGAACCTGACTTTTCCAGATGTACCCATAGCAGACAACCGCGTAAAAATTCATGCAGATTGTGAAGTTTATAAGGAAGCACATATAAACCGTCTATCCAAGTACAGTTTTCCGTAACAAAGTGACACTTCCACCTTCAGAATAAAGTCCCAATCACGACGCAGTGGTCCTTAGAGTGCTCAAAAGCGACTTAGAGGTCCAAAGCATGAAAACGAACTTTTCCAAAAAGATTGATTTATAGCATTTTTCAAGCAGCCAAGGCTATATCGATGGTGAAACACACATTCCTTCAACTCTTTTCCCAACCCCAATTGATCAGTCTTTCGACGTGTAAGGCTCAGTTGCTTTGTTTCAAGTACCGCTGAGGGCCTGAACGCCGTACCATGACTGAGGGTTAAGGGACCTCTTAAAAGTTTACAGACATTTATATACAAAGGAGGAAGTTACAATCGATCATCGGCAAACTAATTGATTGGTTGAACAGGTGACTTGAAATTAGGTGTCTCCAAGTGCGGGATTTTACACCTGAACCTTGGCCGAAAATTATCGCCAGAACACCAGTTTTCTACTAAAGGGGCTGCATTGAAAGATGTGGTGACGCGTAGGGATCTGGTTGTGCAGACGACCGCGAACTTCATGTTGACAGAACGCTATCAGATGGTGGTTCCGAGGCCCACTAGTACATTGCACTGAATGAGATGCGCGTTTAAAATATTTCCCTCTGAAATCAACGGCAAACTTTTTACGTCTTCCAGCCTGGCTGCTTGGATGAGGAAATATACTGACTTCGACCAGGTACAACGCAATGCAACGAAGATAGTCACTGGGCGCTGTAACCGACCAAAAGCCTGGCTGACTCTGAAGAGCTGGTGGTCCGATTTGTCGCCGATCCTGAAATTCCCTGGAATTGTACTTCCGAAGTATGCGAATTTGTCCACTGATACAAGGTTAGCTCGACTGACTTTGATAGGGTTTCGGTACAATCCGCGTTGGGCGCCCACTTGTGCACAGCCATGGTCTTCTCCGAAGATTAAGCAACCAAAGGCAAAACGGTCCACACTCTACTGCATGCCCTCTTCCGTTTTAAATTTTCATGCGTAGTCATCTGCAATCAACAGATTGGGAACACCGGCCTTCGATATTCACGAAGATAATTTCGGGTGACGAATTTGAACACTTTCCCGCCTGTTCGGTAGCTGTTGTCGATCTTCGGCCGCTCTTCACGGTTGGCGTCAGTCACACTGAGGAGGATATCGGGCGAGTTGGGTGGGAGCGAGTGCGCATCCCGCTTTGCTCCATTTCTCGCCGCGAACATTTCAAAGAATGGTCCGTTGTCCATGATGGAAATCTTCATCCCATCGTGATGTTGACGCATAATTTCGGTGAGGTGTTCTGAATATCGGATTTTCATTATTTTACGTCATAGCCCATCACATGGGACTGCATAAAGTGCATTCTTTAATTTGACGAAGATGGTATGGAGGCGGAGCCTCATCTTTTGGCATTTCCTTCGTATTTGGCGGCCTACAAAGCTCAACTCGATGGTACCGTGGCCCCTTTGAAATCTACAGTGACATTCAGAAGAGAGTCTCTACGCCTGGTGCGTGTTCGGACAATTGAGGAGGACACAAGCGAAGATAAACCCTGCAATGTTGAGTGCGAAATGTTTGTGGGATTGTCATAGGATTGTCGGCTTTCCTCGAAAATGAGTAAAAGGACGATGGCCGCGTATTTTAAGTCTTGAAGGAATTGTTCTTTTTAAAAAATTTGCCGTAGAAGTGGGACCAGTGCACATGTAAAAGTCGACCGAGACTGCGTCATACACCCGGACTTTCCCCTTGTACGTCTGATGCGCACACCTAAATATCTCCGGTAGTGGAGGCGGGAGGCCCAAATGGCGACCATCCCGAAGTACTCAGTTCAGCTATTCAGAATTTGTGAATCGTCCGTAAGTGTTGATACTTAGGTTTTTCTAGGTGTGTGGCCCGTAGACCTTTATAACGCGGAGAAATTCTTCATTCAATTGCAGTCCGCGCATCCTTGTAATACTCGGTTTTGCGACCAGTCTACGTTTACAGTATCTTCCGCAGCCGTTGATGCATCAAGCGGCGACAATTGAAGAAGGATGGTTTGTTTTTATCGGTCCCGAGGTCGGCACAGGTTTTATGTGACGTATGATCTTCGAAGAACAGGTTACAGATTTTTTTGTAGTTGCCATCTACCCAGCTCAGGTATTGACGCAATGCTCGACCGAAAACCTCAAGGGCGTGGAGTGAATTGCACTGAAGTTAGCGCAATTGTATTTCATCGGAAGTCTGTTCATCTGGAGTCGGCAGTTCCTGCTGGTTCCATGTTAGTTGACCGCAGAAACCAATGTCGTGAGCAGACACGTCCGACACAACAGAAATTAACATAAAATAGTATGATTACAAAAATAGGCGTTTTGATTTAAGCGCCCAGAGAACATCATCCAAAAGATTTAATACCAAGTCAGATGGTGTAACGGAGATAATATCGACACTTATGGTCTGCATGGGCGGCCGGATGTTCAGTAGGACTTAGAAATAGTGTTATGTCAAGAGGGCAGCGTTTTTTACGCCCGCTGACGAGTTGTTTCTATATGCGATACTTTTGATAATAATAATAGCCACAAATTCCAAAGTGGGAATTTTTAGAAAAACGCTGGGCTGCGAACGAAGTACTGGAAAGAACCTCCTGCGTTTAAAAGTGAGGGGCGAGCTCAAGGAGTCTTAACTTTCAGAAATAAACCCAGGAGAAAAAATTATCCCCCGAAGAGATATGGAGGAGCAGATTGAGTTATGCTTGAAGGGGGATGGCGCTATAAAGACAAGTCTCCAATTGAAAACGAATCATCACTGTGGCGAACTCGAGGATATTAGATGGTGGCAGAACTAGGGTGTGACCGATGATTGGGGCGAGACCTTGGCATCGCAGTAGATAGAACGGAATTCTGTTAGGTTTTAACGGCGAGCGGAACGGAGACGGTCTAGAAAGTATAAAAAGCAAGGTAGAGATGGCGTTTAGAGGCGAAGGAGACGAGAGGAGTTATGACCAAAGAGGGACCACGAAGGTTGTATAGGCGAATAGCAGGGGTATTGACTGATACCCGAGGAAAACATGATCTATTATTGATGCGAAAATGGAAACAAAAGTTGGCTCCCAGCCTACTGATCCATAGAAATTTTAGGTAAGTCAACTGGAATCTACTTGAGTAGGAAGTATTTGGATGTGTCGTAATATGAAGTTTTCTAATAAAACGCCTTTAGATATATTCAATTTTAGAGCGACCAGCCTCGTCCAGTAAACCAAAGAAAGGGCAGTGATTTTGGAGAATGAAAGGGACAATCCTCGATAAAGTGGAGATTAAAAGAAACAAAGCCACAAACCTGAGCAGCTTTGCTCGTAGTTCTATCTGCGTGCGGCGAGAGATTTAGATTGTTGATGTGGATTTAAGCTGAGTCGCTGATGGTGGAGCACTCAGTCATAGGGTTGGCTTGAAAAAAGTTGCTTGTTTGGGTAGCCTCTCAGCTCCAAAACAAATGTATAACTTCAATTGTCGACTTGGACGATATCCACCGTGTGCTCCGCAGCAGAAGGAGAGCAGGGACGTGACTTGTCGTAGATTCATATATGGTGATAATAGGATTGCGTGGCACCTACTGCACTCTCTCCTCCTTCACCTGGACCCGGTGTCATGACCAGGTAAGAAAGGCCGAAGGTGGGAGAGCGCGCATGTTGCTGGCGCGGCCGGAGCCATCTCTAGGCGTAACGTCTTGCGGCTCAGATTCCACGGACTGGAACTGCTAAATAGGCCACATTAAGAAGCAGCCATTGCAGCCTGGACTCTGAGGCCCAGTTTATCCCGCCAGTTGGCAACCTTCAAAGCGAAGACTTTTAGCGCACCGTGATAGCTTCAAGCACGTCAGTTTGTTAATAGTGATGAAAGTGAGCTGATACGTCGACCTCACACTCTCTTCACACTTTCAGGCACCAGTCAACTGTCCAAGTCGCTTAGGTATCTGATACTGGGAGTGAGCGCAGTGGCTGACAAAGCTAGAGGGCCCGTTTGTGCATGCCACATGCACAATCTGGCGCTCCAAACGCATACACCAGGATTACACATATAAGGGTCTAGGACGCCCCGATCTCATATGCAACAGGGGAGCCACACGGAGGAAAGAGCCGAAAAGCACACTCCCGGCACACATGAGAAGGGTCGATGATGTGAGATGATGGGGGGGGGGGATGGAGGGCGTATACGTGGTAAATGTTTTGATGGGGAATGTGTGGTGATGCGATCGTGTCTGCGGTGATTTACCGCAGGTTTTCTTGGAGGGGTATGTGGCCGGATAGGTCCATGAGGTGAGTGAACGTGCGTAGATAGTATGGGCAATGGAGATGGGTGCGGTGTGTGCATGTTGGCGCTCCTATCTCCGCCTCACCAGGTTCTTTGCGATGGATCTGCCAGTGACCGACCAGACCGAGATGTAATGTATATATGCGGTGGCAGCTAGAGCAGGATAGGTTCGGGGCTGTAGAATCGATTGGGGTAGAGAGTCTATTAGCTGGTGGAGGGTATGCTGCTTTGTTGGATATAAGAGCGTTGTCGGCTATGCAGGGCGTGCTTGGAGTGTCGATGTGGCATCGAGGTTGGATGCGAGTGTCACCGACTAGACCCATGCGATGAGTAAGTGTATGTGTGCAGTGGAGGTGGGCGCGATGGATGTCTTTCGGGTCTCCTGACATTGGTTTGCAAGTGACCGACTATGCCGACGCTTGAGCTAAATGTGCGGTCGCGGTGGGGATAGGCTGGGAATGAGTTCGTGGTGGGGACGGCGGTGGTGAAGAGAGTAGTTGACGGGACGTCGGATGAGGTAACATCGATGGTGGAACTGAAAGAAGGGAGAGTGTTGATGTGGCTGGTCGCTGTGAGCGATGCAGGGCTTGGAGCGGGGATAGTGATGACGGAGTTCGATGGCGGCGGGGCTCCGGCAGTGAAATCACCAATGTTGGATTGGTCGTCGTCGTGAGGTTTGAGTCAGGGTTGACAGCAGGGATGTTCGTGGAAGAAGTCGACGTTGCCGGGTTGTTATTGCATATCTCCCGAAGGTGTCCGAAAGGGCCGATTCGCGCGTGGACTATTCGTCGACAGAGGGGGTATGTTGGAAGCGATCGGCTGTTGGCGTCGTGGATCCGAGACGCTCGGGACTTGCGAGCCGCCCTTTTGGTTTTGGCAGCGACAGTTTGGTTTGCTGCATAGACTGCTGAGTCAGTCTCCCGGCTCTTCTCCAGACCGGTCTGTCATGGGCAAAGTCCTCACAGGTCTCCGAGTTTATATGCAGTCGTCTCAGGGAGTTCTACAAATTGTCCTTATAGCTTCGTGTTCGGATTCACTGTCGGTGAGCATCCGTTGCGACATCTCCGTAGAAGAGTTGTTCGGGTAGCCACTTGTCGTTCACCCTCACAAGGTGGCCGCTGTATAGAAGTTGCAGTTGTTCGGCTTGAAGAATATGTAGAGAATTCGGGTCCTTTCGGGTCCTTTCGTGTTCGGAACCTGCGTGCCCTCTCACTTTCAGTATTCTGCAGATGCGAATTAGACCAGAATAATTCAACTTCCTGGCTTGATTGAAGTGCATGGTCTACGGCTCCACTTCGTACAGGAGTGTCGTTAGGACAACGTCCTCGCATGTCTTCAGTTTGGTGTTCATTTGATGACCTTGGGGACTCCACGCGAGGGCTTGCAGCCGGCCAAAGGCCTATCTGGCTTTGGGGATCAGATGGCCAACTTCGTCGTCGATTTTTTGTGCTGCGCAACAGCGTGTTTCCCAGTTACGCAAAGCCGTCCACGATTTTAAGTTGGCTGCTATAAACATAGATTCGAGGGGTATTTTATTCTATGTTGAGTGACGGTTGATGCATGGCCACCACCTCGTCCGTGTTGCTAACTAGTCTAAAGGCGACGCATCCGACGGCGAAGAGGTCTATACTTCTTTACCTGCCTTCTTGGGCAGTGGTGTGGAGCGTGCATTCGCCTGCGAAAAGCAGGTCTTGGCGTGCAGTTGTAGATAACCGCGTTGTGGCCTGCATGCGCTGACTACCGAAAAGATGCCCATCAGTCCTGCAGATGATGTGTATCCCAGGTCGCATCAGGACGTCCATCGGCACGGTAGAGCACATGAAAATAGAGAGGACGGGAGCAAGCACGCAGTCCTGCTTAACTTCATTGATCATTGCGAATGTCTCGGGAAGTGAGCCGTTCTCCGTGACGCGTACCATTATCCCGTCGTGGAGCTTAAGCCCCATGCACGTAAAGCGTTCAGGACGGTCGAAGGCTTTCGTCAGGTCCACAAGAGTAATATAAGGGCGAGTTGGCATCTCCTGACACTTCTCGTGCGGCTTACGAGCAGTAATTATCATGTCAGTGATGTGGCGGTGTCATCGAAAGCCACATTGGTTCTCAGGGACATTTCTTGCTGTGTATGGCTGTTGAGACGACATACGTCGTAGAGACTGGAAAGCAGCATTCACGGGGTGTGTTCTCAAGGTTAGAACTTAAGGCCGTATTGAATGGACTTATCACCAGATACTATGTCGAAAAAGAAAATTACCAGCAGGCCCGATGGCTAAAGAGTACACTAAAAGTTGAAATAAACCGTAAGCAAAAGCTGTGGAAAGCTGTCTCAGAGATAAGACAATCGAATCAAGGAATAGGTACAAGGCTCAGCAGAATAGGGTAAAGTGCCTTGTTTACAAAGCCTGCCAAGACTTCGAGGGAAAGCTTTTAAACCGTGCAGGAGAAAACCCAAAGCTTTTCTTCAACTACATAAAACAAAATACTCCCAATAGGGATCCCATCCGTATGTTAAAAAGAGATAATGGCTTTGAACTTAACAAGGGCGACGAAAAGGCTGTGCACCTGTTCAGGTTCTTTTAGTCGGTTTTTAGATAGAAGTCGCTGTACCCGCTGGTCACTATAATATGGAAGATGTCCCAAAAATTGACTCAATAGTTCTCACAAAAGTTATTGTTCAGCAAGAACTGGTGAAGCTAAAAGAAGCGATATCGCCCGGTCCTGATGAGATACCAGCAAAGTTGTTGAGGGAATTAACCACAGAATTGGCGAAAACTCTGTGTCTCCTCTTCCAAGTCTCTCTTGATGCAGGCAGACTGCTTCCTGAGTGGAAGACCGCATGGATTTCACCAATACATAAAAGTGGCATTCGCGCTTCTGCAAAAAACTAGTGACGGTAGGCCTCATCTCCAAATGCTGCAAAGTTATAGAGCAAATTATCAAATGCCAACTGATGCGGTTTTCAGAGCAACATCATCTTCCATCTGATGCACAGCATGGGTTCCGCAGAGGAAGGTCCTGCTTGACCAATCTACTTTACTGTCTGGAACAGTGGACTCGAGCGATTGATGAAGGAAACCTGATGCACGTAGCCTATATAGACTTCAAGAAGGCTTTTGACAGCGTGCCACATCAACGTCTCCTATACAAGCTCAGCCGCATAGGGGTAAGAGGCAAGCTTTTGAAGTTGATTGAAAACTCTGTGATCGCTCGGTCTCAGACTGTCCGTCTTAGTGGCCAACAATCGACAGAGGTGACGGCTACGAGCGGAGTGCATCAGGCCTCCGTTCTTGGCCCTATCATCTTCCTCATCTATGTTGATGACTGCATCCATGGGTTGGACTGTGACATTGCCGTGTTTGCTGACGATATAAAGCTTTGGACCGTCATCCGCAACGAGGACGATGAGGCAAATCCACAGGCAAACTTGGGCCGACTCAAACAATTGTCAAGTCACTGACTCCTCCCATTTAATGTTACCAAATGCAACATTCGGAGAATAAGTAGAATCAGCTCTGCACATCGGAAGACGTATTATCTAACTCACCCACCGCTGCCATTGGTAGAGGTTCAGAAGGATCTACGTGCGTGGATAATATCTTCACTACAGCCATCATTCCACTGCTTGAAGGCAGAGAAATCCTCAGTGTCCAGCTTATAACTCATCAAGCGGACATTTGCCAAGTTCGAGGAAAAGTGCTTGCGCAAGGTTGTAAATGACAATTCCGTTAGTTGGGCACAGCAAGTAGGCTGTCCGGGAAACGAAGATAGAAGTATCCCAACAATTGCTCCGTTCCAACAGCTTAATTTTCCACCTCCGGCTCTTCCTTTTTTATAAGTAGCAATGAGCGGAACCTACATATTAGGAATACGCTTAGTATTGTCTCTCTCAACGCAAGATCTGTCGTGCAAAAGATGGCACACCTAAGAAGTGTAGCTGTTGAGTTTGACACAGACGTATTGTGCATTACAGAATCTTGAGCTCACTCTCTAATTTCAGACTCTGCACTCAATATAGATAGCCTCATTTTATACCGCCAGGATCTTGCCGAAAGACGCGGCAGTGGATGCATTCTTTACATAAGAGCCTCACTTGCACAATCACCTTATAACTTGAACGTTTCCTCCTTCTCTGGAAACTTATGTTTTGCTTCGGTAATCCTTCCGCAAAATAGGACAGCCTTAGTCGGATCTGTATATAATCCTCCTTGTTCCTAGGGAAATGAAAGCCAACTCTGTGAACTCTTTGAAAAAATTGCAGAGACTCCTTTCGATGTCAAGATTATCGTAGGCGATTTTAATTTGCCAGAATTTGACTGGCACACACATACTTTTCCTCCTAAATTCCAGAAGCTGCTGGACACCAATTACTTTTCAAACTTATCTCAATTAGCTCACTCTTTGACCAGAAACGATAGTGTTTTAGACTTAATTTTTACTAATGGCACCTTCCCTTTATCTATGGATTTCTATCATGACCTCTTTGCAAGTGATCATGCATTAATCCACTGTCGCCTTCTAGTTGCCATTTCCGCAAAGCCAACAGTACAACGTAGTATTTTTGACTTTGCTAATGTTAACAAGGAATTACTAAATAACTTTACATGCACTCTTGATTGGCCCAATATTTTTTCAAGTAATTATCTAAATTTTTTTTAACAATTTATTACAATGCGTAACAGAAGGTCTTCTTGACCTTATTCCTCGGAAGATGTTCTAATCGAGTGCTAATTCCACCGCTATCCCACACTTTCTTAAAAACAGACTTAAACAGTTACGGAAGCAGTTTAAAAATCCTTCGGTGAGCTCATTATCAGTTCATCTAAGAATCGTTGAAATATTTAAACTAGCTTCGAAAATGAGGCTCGCGCGAGATAGGCGTAGAGAGTCTTTAGCTATAAATGACATGAATGCTTCTAAATCAGTTGCTCAGCTCTTCCGTCAAAGATCGTCTGCTAAGTCCTACCAAGTCATTCCGCCTTTGCTTAGTACCAGCGATGCCTTCATTACAGAGGAGTCAGGCAAAGCAGAAATTTTAAATTCGTTCTTTGCCAACCATTTCACCATTGAAACTGCCCCCATCCCTTTAATTCCTTCGTTGTCTGATGTTTCTCTTAGCATCATTAATTTTTCTCCTGAATGTATTCAAAAACTGATAAGCCATCTCCATAACTCTCACTCAGTAGGTACGGACAATATCCACAACTCTTTTATAAAACAGTTAAGAGATTTTCCTCCTCTGCTTAGCAAAATCTTTTCAGTATTTCTTGTAAATGGCTTCTTCCCTGACTATTGGAAAACTCCTATTATTATTCCTGTATTTAAGTCTGGCTGTCGTTCGGACGTACAGAACTATCGAGGTGTCCGTAAAACACCATCTCTCGCCAAAATCTTTGAAAAAATTATCGCCGTAAAAATTACCGACTTTTGCATAGCCAATCAAGTTATTAGTCCTTCCCAGCATGGATTTTACAAGATCGCTCATGTGAAACATGTCATCTGTCGTTTCTCAATCTACTTACCTCTCTTCGTAATGACCTCCGAGGGGTTAATATTCTTCGAGATTGCCGCACTCTGGATGCTCCTGCAGTCAAACGGATTTTAGAAAATTGATTCACAGACAGCAATATTCGCATCGTCATCAATTTACGACACCACCTTTGCAGAACGTGGACTTCGACTCTACCAGTTCTGCATACGAGCCTAAAAAGACCAATCTTCCAGCAAACGAAACGCTCAGAACAAAGGCTGAGTCTCACTTCGAAATTAGACTTTAGCTGTACCTTTGCTTCAAAGCATTAGCTTAAATTTCTGTTAACTGTAGTGCCGTTAAATTCGACTAGGTTTCTGTTGTCTGAAGTCTCGAAGCATTCGCTTAGATTTCCGTTGCCTAAAGCTTCCCTGACACCTGAAAGCCTTAGGCCTTCTTTTGATTGTGTCTGTCTTCTGCTGCCAACCTTTCGGCCGTTGTTGTATCCTTGACTTTGGCGCATTGACACATGGGAAATGTAGAAGTGTACGATCCATCAGTCCCGCGGGATGAAAAAAGGGCGTGGGGAGCGGGAGTCGAACCTCCGACCATCGCGTCACGAGGCGAACGCCTAGACCCCTCGGCCATCGGCACCGAGGTGATGACCACAAAGAATATTAATTGCATTAGCCCCACGGTTGGGGAATGTGCCGGATTTTGCCATGAAAATCGTGCACTAGCAACTCCATGCGGACCAGCGTCGATTCACGCCGGGCAAGGAGGATCTAACGAACGCAGTACGCCAGAAGTGGTTCAAAACAGGACGGAGGTGGCCCGCAACGCAAATTATCCCGGGAAATTCGCCACGCCTACACAAAATTTTCTACCAGATGATGAACCTTTAAATTGTGGTTCGCGGTGTAAATATTGTCGAGATCTCGCGTTAAACATTACGTCGTTGGAGACGAACATGAACCTCCTTATAGATCTCATTGCATTGTTACTAAAGTATGATAAATTTAAGTCAATTGATGAATTCAGCAGTAGCCAACAGATAGTTTCGAAACTGACAGAGTTGACTAACAGCAACCCACTAGTAGAGGGATCACCGTTTCAGGAGATCGCTGGCTGCAGAAATAAACAGAGTGCTAAGAGAAAAGGTAAACGGAAACATGAACATACAGCCTCACCCTCACCAAGAGCGATGATAAACGACACTCCAAAATCGCAAACTAAGTTGCGAAGTGATAATGGCAGTACACTCTCATCATTGAGAACTACCCAGCTGAAGAACAATGACCAGCTCACTGGCAGAGTAGAAGCTGTCCGATCTCCACCACAGAAGAAGGTAAAAGGATTCGACATAGAAAAGACTACTGCATGGACGGAAACCTCAGAGGAAATCGCGGAGAATATGACAAGGCATGATATTAATCCGCCGCAGAAGAGCAGAAAGCAGACGCTCACTGCCCCCCGCAATGTGACCGAGGAGAACCAAGGAATTAATAATAAGACTCAGACCGTTCACATGCAACTGAGGTCACATCAAAAGAAGCAGTTAAATCAAAGGGGACTGATGACTGAGAAAAGAGAGACGGAAATCGGACGACTTCGGAGTACCCGAAGAAAGGAACTTCCTGGGGTGGAAAAGCAGAGCTCGTCTGAGCAATCGACAGAAACCTCCAGCGCCAGCCTAGACACAGACGCGGCAAATGCGAATATCCTCTGTATTGACATAAAAGACAGGAGCAGTATTGCCCCAAACACGAAACCATTAGCTGCAGAAGAGATCCCTGGAGTGGATGGCAACCAGAATGTCATCATGAATGGTTCGCCAGGAACTCCCAAGTCACCAACATCACGCAACCAAGACCGGCCGCTCCGAGAACAGTGCCTAGTAATACAGGGACTGCAGGAGCCTCAAGCAGATACACCTAAAGAACGCGTATTAGCTGATCTCGGCTTGTTCCAAGGTCTTCTAAACACACTGCTTCAACCCGATGAAGAAATTTCCGTGTTGAAAGCCTTCAGACTCGGAAAGCGCTCTACTGAACCCGCTATTCCACCGCATCCTAGGCCCCTTAAAATTGTTCTGAGTTGCAAAGAGCATGTTGATCTTATCCTCTCAAGACGTTTTAGGTTAAAATATTCCCACCAAGGAGTTTTTTTTCAGCCGGATTACACACCACCGGAGCGGATAAAACGCCGACAGTTAGTTCAGGAGCTAAGGCTGCGACAAACGAATGGCGAACAAGGCCTGGTTATCTACAACAACTGCATAATCGAGCGACCGTCCCGCTTCATATGGACACGGCCCGTGCGTATGTCGCCACAGCCGAGACAATTGGCAAAGGCGGCGTCATAGCCGGCTTATCAAAGGAAAAAAAGCTAAAATGCTTGTATTCCATTGCGCAAAGTCTGCTATCTAAATTAGATGAGCTTAAAATCTACGTTGACCAAACCTTACCCGATGTTATATCCTTAACTGAAACGTGGCTGTCCGCGAGCGTAGACGATCGCGAAGTCGCTTTGTCTGGTTATCACTTGTTCAGAAAGGACAGGTTGGGACGTCAAGGTGGAGGTGTGCTCGTGTATGTCAAATATGGCCTTTTTGCGTCAGAAAAAGAGGGACAGCTCGCGCGCACAACTGAAACGATTTGGCTCACCGTCAAAACGCCGGGGTCACAACCTCTCGAGATCCTGACGGTCTACCGCCCACCGAGGAACGACCCGCAATCAGACAGTAGTCTACTAGAGGAATTAGAAGCGATTTCCCTCCGACCCAATGTCATGATTATGGGCTACTTTAACGCTCCGAATATCGACTGGAATCTGACTTCTGCCCCGGGCTCAGAATTTAACTTTGATCGCCGCCTCCTAAATTCTGTGCAAAGATCGAATCTCACACAACACGTCTTATCCCCAACCAGACTACGTGAAGGACAGCTAGCTAAC